GCTCTAATTTCATGGCTGTTGCTAAAATAGAAGGTGGTGGTGCTATCTACGTGTGAGACAGAGTACGTAGTGGTGGCCATAGTGGCATGCCAAGTTGTGTGGCTACGCCGGCTGCTGGGTGAGCGAACCGGTGCGGAAGATCACCCACCAGCACTGATGGTGGACAACCAGCCCACCATCGCCCTCGTGAAGAATCCGGTTCTGCACGACTGGAGCAAATACATCGATGTGAAGTTCCACTTCCTCAGGGACTGTGTCGATGGAGGGCAGATCGTCATCGAGTTCGTCGAAACTGGTCGGCAACTCACGGACGTCCTCACCAAGCCGCTCGGACGTCTTCGACTCATAGAGCTGAAGGAGATGATCAGCGTGGAGGGGGTACAAGGGATAGCAGTAGGATTAGGGGAAGAATTGTTAGAAAATCTACTGCTTCCTTGTGTGAACACACAAGGGAAGGCGGTGCCGAAAAGGCTCCCTGCTGTGGTACTATAGCCGCTGTAGAGGCAGGCGCCGAACGGCTCACCTGCGGCACTATAGCCACATGCAGGGACAGGCGCAGAAGTCAGTCCTGCTGTGTTATCTAGTAACTGTAGCAGCATGAAAACTGTACTAGGACTAGATAGGATAGAGTTGTATAAATAGTTTACCACTACAACTGAGTAAAGAGAGTTCAGATTGCCATCTCCTATACAGGGCTCCGACCAATGCTGGTGCTTGTACTGTGTGTGTATGCTCTATTCTCCCTCTTCTTCAACCTCTAGCCATAGTGTGTGTGGTCGGACAACGCTTGTTCGTGGTCGGTTTAGCTAGTGAGTGCTTGGCAACACTAGCGGGTGTTCGGCAAGACTGGCGAGTGGTCAACTCGCCTGAGCCGGTGATCCTATGGCCAACAATGACTATTATTTCATGTGGACCAACCTATAATATCATCATGGCTGATGAATAGCTATATATTATTTTAAATGTTTTACTCAACCTTAAGTGCTTCAAGTGTGTGCAAGCTAGTTTTTCTTGAAACAAACCAATTTCTTTTCAAAGCATGGTAGAGGAAAAACACTGGAGAAAACAAGCTGCTGGCATACTTACATTGGGGCAGAGAACAGAAATAGAATTGTCACGGAGGTGGGGGCTCATGGCAACAGAGCTCAACTCTTCCACTGCGCCAGCACAGACAAAGTTATCCCACTCGCCACGGCGTTGCCGACTACAGAGGTAGCTGAAAACACGCTCTACAGGCGTTCCTGGCAACCACACGGGTGTGGTGGCACTCAGCACTTGGAGGGGGCGATGGCTTTGTTAAATACAAATAAAAGTTGTCACATGTAATCCTGTTGTAATATTTGTTTTGAACTTTCATTTGCTTTAGCGTAGAATCGCGGGCCGTTCTCTGATGTGCGAGAACTACGCCATGACCGTGTCTGGTTGTGACCCCATCGCGACGTCGTTCACACGTCCCGCGCCGATCCGAGAAAAGTGGTCGATCGTGGGGGCGTCGTGTGCGACGGGGTGGAAGGCTTCAAGACTATGTAATCAAAGATCAATGCAAATGAAACGCTGTGCCAGTTGGGCAAAACCGTGTGCGTGCTCACTGTCTTTCTTCTCCAGTTCGCGTGCGTTCTTCATCCTGAGTTCTAGTCGCCGCGATCACCACCAGCGGGTGTCACGTCGCCGTCGAGCTCGCTCGCCGGAGCTCGGTTCCAACACGTGGTATCAGAGCTAGTGGATGTCCTACGATGGGTCGGTGAGCCCCCCGCGTGAACCTCCCAAGAAGAAGTACATCGTTCCCTTCAAGCCGAAGGAGGAGAAGGAGAAGATGGGCAGCGGCAGTGCGGAGTCCAGCACGGCGTCGAGCACTATCAAGGAGAGCTCCCTGGTCTGGCCTATGTTCTCGCGATCCAACTATGCGGAGTGGGCTATGTTGATGCAAATCAACTATGAGGCCATGGAGATCTAGGAGACCATCGACCCAGGCACCAATGTCAAGCGGTCTTAGGACCGACAGGCGATGGGGGCGCTGATGCGTTCAGTTCCCAAGGAGATGTGGGGAACGCTGGGTGTGAAGAAGACGGTGAAGGAGGCGTGGGAGACGGTGCAGGTCATGCGGATTGGAGCAGATCGGGTCAAGGAGGTCACCTCTCAAAATCTCGTAACTGAATTTGAGAATATCAAGTTCAAGGAAAGGGAGAGTGTTGAGGACTTCGGCATGTGGATCACCAATCTCGTTGCCAACCTCCGATCGCTCGGTGAGAATGTTGAAGACTCTCGCGTTGTTAAGAAATTCCTTCGAGTAGCACCATCTCGTTTCAGCCAGGTCATAGTGTCCATAGAGATGTTTTTGTGATGTGAATAATTTATCTATGGATGATCTGGTGGGGAGACTACGTGTTACTGAGGAGAGAATGGAAGAGAAGGTGGAGCAGATTACTGACAAGGCCCGCCGGTTGCTCCTTGCTGAAGAGGATTGGCTTGAGAAACACAGGCATCGTTTCCATTCCAATCAGAAAGAGGGAGGAAGCAGTGGTGGTAGTCAGGGAAAAGGCAAGGCACCAAGTCGTGTAGATGCAAGTGGCTCTGCCAAGACTGGTACTGTCAAGCTCACCTCTAAAGGAACACCGAGAAGAAAAGGTAGATGCAGAAATTGTGGCATCTATGGGCATTGGGCAGAGGACTGCAAAAGGCCTAAGAAACAGAAGAAAGAAGAGAAACGTGAGGAGGCCAACGTAGCCATGGCCAGAGCTGGTCACAATCCAGTGTTGCTCCTGGCTGTGGCTAGTGGTGTCTCACAACCATCACCCGAGGTGGTCCATCTGTCAGAGAAGAAGGTGATTCCGGTGGCGTGCCCAGAAGGGGTGTGGGTGTTAGACACAGGAGCCAGTAATCATATGACCGGCTCTCGTGCAGCACTCACTCACCTCAATGAAGGCGTTCGGGGCACTGTTCGTTTTGGTGATGGCTCCAGCGTCGAGATCCGAGGACTTGGATCCATGGTGATTCAAGGACGTCGACAGGAACACAAGGTACTCACTGACATTTACTACATACCACAGCTGAAAAGTAGCATTGTCAGTCTGGGTCAGCTTGAAGAAAAGGGTTATGAGGTTTCTCTGGAAGAATGGTAGATGCAGTGTGACTGACAAAGGAGGAAACACATTGTTGATTTCAGCTCCTAGGACTGCTAACCGTCTTTACACTCACAAGTTCAGTCAAACTTCACCTGTTTGTTTACTGACAAATCTTGATGATGAAGCCTGGATATGGCATGCACGCTTTGGGCATCTGAATTTCAGATCACTGAGAGAGCTTGGCAGAAGAGACATGGTGTCTGGTATGCCTGTTGTAGATCGAGTGGAGCAAGTCTGTGACAGCTGTGTTTTTGGAAAGTAGCACAGAGCTCCATTTCCAAGTGTCTCTACATATCGTGTAGAGAGGGGTCTAGAGTTGTTCCACACTTATTTATGTGGTCAGATTAGTCCACCAACATTAGGTGGCAAGTCGTATTTTCTGTTGATTGTTGATGACCATAGCAGGTTTATGTGGGTTGAGATGCTAAGATCCAAAGATGAAGCATTGCAGTATTTCAGAAAGGTGAAGGCAAAGGCTAAAACTGAACGTGAAGGGAAACTGAAAGCAGTGAGAACTGATCGTGGTGGTGAGTTCTAACTCAACCCAATTCAGTGTTTTTTGCAATGACCAAGGCATTAGACACTACACCACTACTCCATACACACTCCAGCAAAATGGAGTAGTGGAGCGTCGAAACCAAACAGTGGTAGAGATGGCCAGGTGTTTAATGAAGAGCAAGAATGTTCCATCTAGTCGCCGCGATCACCACCAGCGGGTGTCGCGTCGCCGCCAGGCTCGCTCGCCAGAGCTTGGTTCCAACAGGCTTTCCATCCATGGCACTAAAATATTTCCCTAATACCATGCGCACAGCTGGCTCGAGCGTATCGGCATTAGTGCCCCTGTAGCCACCCAACCCGGTGACAATATTTCCGGGTTCCACAGTGGCCATCCCACATCTGCTGTGCCAGCTCTAAGAGGTTCCGTCTACCCAGAGCGGATATGGTAACCGCCTCTGTGAGGTTTACAAAACAAACAAATGATTAAGTCTTTCTTTTACATCAATTAGGTTTGCTTACCTGAGCCACCACCGCTTGGAACTTGGATGGAGTGCGTAAGAGCCATGTACTCACAGTGCATTTGGAGTGATGCAAGCCAACGGCTTGCGCCGAAGGTCTACCCAGACTGGAAGAATTGTCGGAAGAGGGGTGGGACAGTCAACAGTGGCCTCCTCGTACTCTGCATGGACAATCCATGTGACCAGAAAAAATGCACGGAAAATATTGAGTCCTGAACATATACTCATATACTTTGTAATGTCACAACTTAGCGGAAAGAAACCATATATTATGATAGTATAAAATATAAATTAAGTTGTTTTCACTCATTAACAAAGACACGTATAAACAAAAGGTATGCTTACAAAATATGAATCCTATGATATACAGCATTTATAATGCCCTTCTTCAAAGGAAAGAAAATACTTATTTATATTATCAAAACATTAGAAATCACAGATTTCGACATGAATTTGTATAACATATACTTCCATTTGACGTGTTGATTTGAAGTACAAATATTTGAGCATTGTTAATCGATCAGAAAATTTAAGACTTGCAATCCATGTTCTTGAATCTATACCATATATACTCGAAGTTGTTTTATAATTTTGTGAAATTAGTTTGATGCACACTAAGATTTCTAGTGATAGATAATTAGGCTTTTAATTATATTTTTCAATTTCCTGTCAAGCAATTGATTTTGGAGTAAACTTTTTTGTGTTTGTCCACAGAATTTGAAGGCTACAAAATGAAGCTACATACGATCGAATGTTATGAAATCACAATCACCTTTGCAACAAATTCAGACAATATATAGCTACAACTACTAATAAGCCACACATCATGTGGGCATTGCAATGTTTTGTATTCTCAATTATACTAGAGTACCTGACAATAGCCATCGCCTATGTCTTGAACGAGGCAACCAGACGGCAGCAACCTGCAGCTCGTATGCTTATTTTGGCTGCTTTCTTGTTCATGAACTCGATGGACACCGTTGATGGACACGTCCACTACAACAAAGCCCCCGTTTTTAGTCTGCTTGCTAATCCTCAGAAATTTCATGCTGCGAAGTGGCGGACGTGGTGATTCCACTGACAGATCTACATTTATCGGCAGGAGCTCCATAAAATCATTTAAGATCATAAACCTCATGATCAACATATACATGTCTACATAGATGTTGCCTGGGATCACCTCCTGAATTAGCCCATTATTGCCCGAAGCAAAAGTGCCAATAAAGACGACGTCGTAGGCTCTTAGAGCTGCTACAATACCAGGGAACGTCTTGAACCAGTGTTGCTGCAAAATGCATCATTATTACAACGCTAGCGGAGAATGCATTATTGATGGAATGCTGGTACATGTAGATAACTGCATCAAGCTTACCACATCAGTGAGGATGGCAACGACGTCTGAGGCCGTTCCCCTGACTAAGGCAGTGTCCCTGGTGGCCTCCACAACAAACCCCTGTGGACGCATCCCAAGTAGTCTTGGGAATCTCTGGCAGGCGTACTCCTGGCTGTTGAGCATGTCAGCCACCGATGGTTGGGAACAATGGCGGACCATTCCTTGCTAGCGTCTCAAACTCTTTGATAGCACATTCAACATATGAGAAAAGTGTAACCTGGTTGTTGGTGCTACTGCTATAGCATTGCTGGACAATGGGTTCATGGAAATAACTAATGTCAGATCCTCCAGTGTCACAGAGGGAGGAAGGTTTGCCTCCTGCATGAGATTTTTCAGATCAGCATAGGCACGCCAGTACATTTCCCTGAGCTTGGCATTTTCATCAAGCAGCTGCCATTTCTCTGCTGTTGGGTCACGACATCTGCCGCATGTCATTTCTTTCAATTGCTCCTGGAGTTCCATGTTCTTGGCGAGCAGCTCAGCTTTTTGTTGACGAAACTTGTTGTTCTCAGTTCCATATGACTTCACCTGCATGTTTCAACTTAAGGAATTAATATTTGTAATTACTTTTCATACACATGAACATGTTTAACCTTAAATTATGAATGAAAATTAAGGCAACAAAACATATGTACAGCGAATTATAGTTATGAAGTTACTGTAAGGCTTGTACAATGCAAGGACACTTAATTAGATGCTTAATGGCATAGAATAGATGAAGCATATATAGAAGAGCCAGGCCTAACTGACACAATGGTACCAACCATTAAACATATGCTTAGATAGTTAGAAAAATAAACAGATGGCTGTTTGAGCACCACTTGGCCACAATGTGCACATCCGTTCCCTAGTTTTTTTCCTCGGATCTGAAGCACGAGACTCCAAAACGTGCATGAAGCTCATGGGATTATTTTCTGCCTGAGAGATCTCCATTTCCTCCACAAGAACCCTGGTTTGAGTGTTCTGTGCACCAATGTGGCAGGGATTTTTTTTAATAAACGAATCTTTTCTTGAAAATAAAGACAATTATTACATGGAGATGATACAAGTAACTGACCATTATGCAAGCTAGCATGTTATACATGCCTTTAGAGATGTACCTTAATCTGAGTGCGTCGGTTTTGAAACCAAAACTTGACCTGCCTTGTTTCTATGCCTACCTTGGTAGCCAGTTCCTGACGCATTTCATCATCTGGGTGGGTACACTCTTGGAACGAACTGCATCTGAAAAGAAGAGATAAGCTCACATAATATATTATTGGTACAAAAATATTCAGTGGTTTAATGTTTATGTCGTGTGTTTTTTGTTTTACGATTCAAGTTGTTGTAGCTGCCCCACAGTGAAGCATTTGGCAAGCTTGGATGATGACCCCTTGTTGATGTTGTGTTCCTGGCCACCCATAGCCTGATCAGTGTTCAAGTGATCCTCGTCTCCAATGAGAGCATCCATATCATATTCCTCCATGTCCAGTGGCAGGTAGATTAACTCATCATCTCCCATGTTGACACCAGTATCCTGTTCATTGTTGTTCAGCTGCCCCTCGTTCTCCATAGTAACCTGATAACATGAAAATCATAAGTACGTAAAATTGGGAAAACAAAATATTGTAGCATAAACTGTATCCTATTCATAATATTTGAAAATTCAGAGGCTAACCACCATGCCAAATTTCAACATTTGATGTGATTGCTTTAAGAGATAGACCCATAAAGTAAAAAAAAAAATAGTGATTAGCTCTATCCATGAGAGAATTATCTTTCTTTCATATATATGTATGTTGTTGAATTTTGACGTACCTCAAAATATTTTTCATAGCATGGTATTGGTTATTACCTCGAAAGTATTTAGGAGGTGCATGTATTCATACGAAATACATCAAAAATAGGAAACAAAATATATAAATTCAAGGTATATACTTGTGGTGAACTATGTATGCAACATATAGAGTATGGTGTAAGATAACTTCGGAGCAGTAGTAACATATATGGATAGAATGAGAGATTGTCAATAATTTGAAAGCACAAGACAACAACGTAGGACTCGATGAACTGATAAATGGACTGACACATGACATGGACCAAACTCTTTGGACAGACGACATGGTGTGCCTATGATTATAATGGACGGTAGAACAGGAGACTGTAATGCAAAATTTTCATGTGAAGGCACCTGGAAAAGCAAAGAAAAATAAGATAATAAATAGCCTAAAGAAGGAAGATGTCAGTCACGCACTAGCATGTCAGGTACAGGAGGCGACGAAGGATCTTGCAATAAGTTTTCCTTTTCTGGTAACTTTTAATTTGTTTCGAAATCTTTTGGACGTTGAGGTGAACCCAATGCCTCTGCTTATGGTTCAACAAAAGTTAACATTAGAAATAGACAGCAAGCTTTGTAAACCCTTGACCAATAATAAATTTTACATAGTACTCTTTTTCAGATAGCGCCAATTCAAGATCCCGGGCAGTATATATGGATTTTTAGCACCGCTCATCGGTAGTAACTGCGTAATGCTTAAGGTTGATAACACAAATACTGTTAGGAAAATCTTTGCTGATTGAAGAATATCAGTGTTAATGAAACATGCATTGCTCTTATCCATATACTGTCAACATCCACTGCCATAGGGACATACATCAGGAGCACCTATGTAGCAGCAGTGTAGCACATCAACTTACTGCCCCAAATTCTCTTTGACGGCAGGCGCTGGAGAGTGTCGTGAATTCTACAAGTGCTGATGAATGTTATGTCTATTATTAGTGTCTAGAAAGATCTACAGGATAGTGTCCAAGTGCGCGATTAACAATTTTGGAAACTGACTGGTCCTACTAGGTACTACTATGTTAATGCATTCAACTGAGGACGAGCGGATCTAAGGTGGAGTCCAGTGCTTCATGATGCCAAATCGTTTGTAAAATTGCGCAATAGGGATCTCCAGAGGAGATTCTGTGTGTTGCCATGTTCAGAGAGAGGGCCATATATAGGATGTCCCATGCATGAACTGAAATTGCTCGTCTAGAAAAATAGGTCTGTGCATTGTGCAATATGGCGTACTACACATGGACCTTGATGTACTCACGGACTTTTTCTTCCCATGAGTCTTCTAACAAGTAACAACTCGGTTGATCAAATAAAGACCTCTCTTCACACGCAAGAAAATAGCGCAACTAGTTGCATTGCATACCTCTCTTCTCACGAAATTAGAGATCAACGATTAAATGAAATCATGTACTTCCTAAAGATGCAAAGAAATACTTAGAATTTACTCCAGTTAAAGTATACCTTTGATTCCAGGAGTTGTCCTCACTGCTACAGAATGGACTTGTTGTCCCGGACGGTAACGGCCTTTAGTCCCAGTTACCGCGTCGGGACAACGATTCCGGGACTAAAGGTGCCACCTTTAGTCCCGGGTCATCGAGCCGGGACTAAAGAGGGACCTTTAGTCCTGGTTGGTGTTACCAATCGGGACTAAAGGCCCTCCAGCCGAGCAAACGTGGCCGCACCCTTTAGTCCCGGTTGGTATCCCAACCGGGACTAAAGGTTTCTTTTCTTTTTAATTTTTTTTTGTTTAATTTGTTTTTAGTTCAGTTACACGTATTTGTTTAATATATAATATGTTTTTATGTACGTATTCTACGCTGCTAATATAAATACACGCACGCATATAATTACATCTAATTCTCATCTCGAGCATTATTATATTCGAATAAAGTATGAACCTATATATATATATATATATATATATGTATATATACAACACTTTCATAATCTTGTTCTCGAAAATAACGATATCAATAAACATTTAATTTACACCATTTATTCCTTAGGATCAAAGTAGAACTCGCCGTTGGGATTTAGCACTTTTTCTAGAAGAAATCCTGCTATTGACTCTTGAACTGCTTTCATATGGTCTTTTTGCATGACCCTTCGTTTCAATCATTCAGTCTTGCATTTGAAATAAAAGGAAAAGTATTAATACATATATATATATATTCATTTAAAAAATAAATAAAAATTGATATATACGCATTTCGAGGACATCTTTAGGAGTTCTTATATGCTAGTGTGATAAATTCACAAACGTAGTATCCACACAAGTTATTACACAGTTCTTTGCCATAAACACCACCGCATTTGAGAAGAAGATTATTCTTATCATCTCACACGTAAATTGAAGTACGATATAGTAATTAAACACGTGGGGAAGTGTATATAGTATAACTTACTATTTCAACTACATTAAGTGGTGCCTTGTAATCCTTGTGATCATCTTGGCGAGCATTTCTCCATCGGACGGCACCGTATTTGGCCAAGGAAGAGCTCCGATTCTACGAGGAAGGGAACACGGTCTTCCACGACCGTTGCCGCTCTCCCTCGTAGAATCAAAACTCCTCCTTGACGTCCGTTACCGCTCGGCTGAGAAAATGCTCGTCGAGATGATCACGGTCCGCAAGTTCAACTAGTACGGATTTTCTACAATTTTCTAACTATTTTCTAAGTTTTTCATTTCATGAAAAAATTAATTCTAAGATCACGTAAGCCGCCAGGGACGAGGATGGCGCGTGCTCCAGCGAGGACGAGCGAGGCGTGATTTTGATGAACTAATTTAACTTTTGTTTATCCAAACATATATGCAAATCATCATGTGATTTTGAGCTAAAAATGACATATAAAATCATAATAAAGTCCAACATATAAAGTTACACTTGCATCTACATCGCAAAATGAGATAAGCTACTGATAAAACATAAGACGATTAAGTTTGTTACCTCCAAAATCGAAGAGCAACACCAATGGAGGGGGAGAGAGCAAGAACAACAAAGAAGTGAAGAACGAAGCGGTGAGTTTGAATGGAATGGCTCGGGCTCGGGGAGGAAGAAATGAGCCGTTGTATAGGCCCGCATAATTAGTCCCGGTTAGGTGGCCAAACCGGGACTAAAGATTAATATTTATTCCCGGGGTATCACCCAAACCGGGACTAAAACCTTTAGTCCCGGCTGGTGTGGGGGTATTAACCCCTATACCCTTATGGCTAAGCTTGGGCCGGCCCGGATCGATGGGTTCGGTCCACCAAAAGACGACGACACTTGGCCCAGTTAACTGATCGGAGTCCCGCGCAAGGAGTCAAGGGGATTTGGCGATCAATCAAGATCCTGGTCGGTTAGAATAGGAATCTTATCCGCCACATATGGCAATTGTAATGGCTAGGATTAGTTTCAGATCTCGTAACCCCCTTAGAAAGCTATATAAAGGCGGGCGGGACCCTCTAAAAATCATCTCTCATTGACATACAAAGACAATACAAATCGACGCAGGACGTAGGTATTACGCCTTCTTGGTGGCGAACTCGGATAAAACCTTGTGTGTCATCTTTGCGTCACCGTCTTTGTTTTGTAGCTTGCGATCTGTGCCGCCGACAATCTACTACCTTGGGTATACCCCTAGGTAGACCGCCGACCATATTTCATCGGCGGTGGGCGCCGGTAGGGGTGTGCGATCGCTTCCCCAAGCAAACAAGACGGTCATCATCTCCGGCTCCATGGCTACGCCGAACGGCCTCACGTTCACCGTTGGCCAGATCACCTGGACCACCGGCTCCGACGACTTCATCGCCATGACCCCGGAGGAGGCGTGGATTCAGTCTGCGTCGACCACTGCTTCACCTACATCGGCTACGGCTCCGACCACAGTGGATACGGTTCTGACCACAGTGGACACAGCTCCGACCACGATGGATACGGCTCCGACCACGGTGGACATGGCTCCGACCACGATGGATGCGGCTCCGACCACGATGGATCTGGCTCCAACCACGGTACATCTGGCTCCGACCACGCCTGCATCACCTTCAGCCACGCCGACAACTTGTCATCCGCTTCCCCACTACAAAGGGAGGCAGATCGACAACACCGACCTGCTCGACTCCATCGATCGGGTCGTCACCAAGCTCGCTGAAACCCTGGCTCTAGTAAGTACGATTGAAAGTCAGCCTAATGAGCAGGTAACCGCTCCCCACAACAGATCTACCCGACCAGTTCGGACCAGTCGTCCTGCACGACTTGGTACAGATCTCGTGGTCACATCTACTCCTCAAGGGCTCTGCTCGTCACCGGCCAGCCTTCGCGACGGGTCTCCGGCTCTCCGAGTACGAAGCCTCGATGGAGAACTACCAGGTCTAGCCCTATGGCCTGCAAAACGCTGCCTCTAGCTATGCCTACGACTTGCAACGCCGCTTGGATCTGTGTCTTATGCACCGACCTCAGCCGAAGCCGCGCGACTTCGTCAACATGATCCAGATTGAAGATTATCAAGAAGGATCCATTTACACAGTCCAAGAGGGTGACCCCAGCTCCTCGTCTAGCACCGCATCTAATGCATCTGTCCACACCGAGCTTCAGCATCACGAAGATGAAGGCGTCAAGTATGATCTGGATATCCTAGACCACGCCCCGGGGTTCTCACAATTCCCGTCTTTCCCGCCAAGACGGGGGGATCTGATCCATGTTGTCAGCAATGATGAACCGCCAGCAGTTGGCGAAACAGAACAAGAAAGG